TATATATATATATATATATATATATATATATATATATGTGTGTGTATAATGTGAAAGTTTTGCTCAAAAACTAAAGGAGTTTGTAAGCATCATTTTTTTTTTTAGCTTAAAATGCCTAAACAACAAAAAACAAATACATTTTAATTTGTTTAGTTGGTATTTTCAAATTTTTTCAATAAAAAGTGTCATAAAATTTTTTTTTTAGTCTAAACAAAAAATGGCTATTAAGAAAAGCACAATTAAGATATAAAGATTAAGAAAAAGCTTTTATGACCATTTTCAATTCATCCATAGGAGAAAGCAAGTCAGACTGCATAAAATAAAAAATAAAAAATAAAATAAAATAAAATAAACTCAAGTTTTACAGTTTAGTTGCAATTTACAAATTTAGAACATTTGCTAAGGTAAGTATAATTTAGAAGTGGAAAATATAAAACAATAGGGCTGATTAACATCTTTTCAGCCCTTCCTTTTTAAAAAAAACGTTAAACAAGCGTAACAGCCTTTTCCATGAACACGTGAGCCCCCGGGGCAGCTAATTTTGAATGTAATTATCTATTTAATCGCAACTTAACATTATTGATCCCCCTGTTAAATGCTGTTTATGTGGAGACCTGTGAGCTGACAGAATGATTCACTCACTCCCATCTGTGTCATTTATTTCTCATTCTGCCACACCAGCCAGAGGCCTGAAGAATGTGGAGAGATAGCAAATCAAATGTGACTCTGCTGGGACAGATCACGCATGAGGAACTATACAGCAGGACCTTTCTAATGTGTCTGACTCACAACTCTGGGTTTATTTGTGTAACACAAATTGCTCGAACTTGTGCAAAGCATCCTGGAAATGTTGCAGACTTTTAGATTATATTGTGTTTGTAAATGACTATGTAAATCTTTACTGTAATGAATGGAACTCAGAGAGTATTTCTTAGTATTTCTAGTGTTTCTTTAGTTCTAGAATTGCGCCGCTCAAGGCATGTTGGAGCAGCTCTGTTACTTTCATTTTGAGATTTTGCTTTTGGAAACTTTAATTTGTCTTTTTCTGGATGTAAATCACATTTTTGGATGATTGTTTCCTCTGGTATCGGATGATGTGCAGCTGGAAGGATTATTACTGAAACTTTTTTAGTTTTGGACATTTGTTATGGTGCGTAACCATGGCAACAAGGCATTTTTCTTCAACCAACAGCAGCTGATTAACATCTCAAAAGCTCAAATAATATCTCAACTGCAGCCCCAAATCTCAAATGAGTTGAAAAGGATGTTCTGTGGACGCATTCTCATCTACCTGTCAGATGTGCTCGAGTGCCTGACCACTGAAATCCTGGAACTAGCAGGAAACACGGCTCATGATAGCAGAAGGACAGGATCGTCCCTCGGCACCTGCAGTCGGCTGTCCACAGCGACGAGGAGCTCAGCAGACTGCTGGGAGGAGTGGCCATCGCTCTGGGAGGAGTTCTGCCCAGCATTCGGGCGGTCCTACAGCCCAGGGGAACCAAGAGGCCAGCCGAGTCTGGGTGGACAGATCGGACGGCATCTGCAGCCAGTTTCTTAGGATCCACTGTGGGATGGACCTTTACAAGAGATCCTTCCTGTCTACAGCCATCAGCATCTATAACATCTCTTTATGAAATGAGGATAACGAGTTACAACAACAAATAATTTTCCCCTGGGATTAATAAAGTATTTTTGAATTGAAAATGTTGTGTTTGAAGGTACATATTAACAAAATGTGTTATTAGCACTTTCTGTCAGTAACACTGTTTTTAGGTTTGATGGCAAATGTGTTTGTGTCAGTCTGAAAATTTTATTACAAAAATTACCAAAATTTATTACATTTTGATCCAATGGGAATTTTTTTATTTACCTTATAGGAAATAATCGCTGGATGCATCTTGATAACAGATAACTAAAATTGTCTTACAGTGGTTGTTTATTCAGTGCATTCCTTGAAGGAATGTTATACCTTTAATTAATATTTTTACAATAATAAGTATTATCTTTTATGGTGGAGTCAGACAGCATTTCCTCTACAACCCATACAATTCTAAAGTGAATGCAAACATTTAGACTTGCTCCAAAACATTTTAACACCAGGGTGTCCTGCTGCCTGTCTGTCTCATTGATGAACTGTGGCTTTCAACCTCCTGGGATAGGAAGACTGCATAAAACATGAAGAGTTGCAAACAGCAACATTCCTGAGCCTTTCACATTGCTCAGCCCACCCTGCAGGGCTTCAAATTTCATTCTGTCACTTCCGCCACTGGCAGAGCTGAGGAATAGTTCCTGTTTGTTCGTCTCTGCTGTTTGCACGTCCAAAAGTCATGGTTGAACTGAGTGGTGAGCAAACATGCTGCCTTCTGTCCTGCAATCTGCCACGTCGTTGCATCAGCTGTTGGGAAGAAATCACTTCGTCTGTGGTGTTACTTTACTAGGACAGCGAAGGAAGTATTGACAGCAGAGGTGAGCAAAAGTGCACGTGTCCTTCATGTCGCAGTAACTAACAAAGCCTATAGGCTTTAGCATGCAGCTCCTGTCAGTTAAGAAAGGTTTAAATGTTCAAGTATTGTGACGTTAAAGTTGTTAGTGTTATGCAAAATATAGCTCCAACTTTGGAAGCTGTTCCTTTTTCTTCTTTGCAAACAACTTCCCTTAACGCTGGTAAGGACAACAACAGTCAGCTGTCTGTGAGTCATACTACCAAACAGTTGGACTCCAAGACTAAATTTGAAAATAAAAAAAAGTGGATTCTGACATAATCTATATAGATCATATCAGATCAAGTCCATTTATTTAAGGTTTCAGCTGAAACTGAGGAGGCTGATGAAGAGCACGTTCTGTCATGCCAAACATTTTATTTCCATGAGAAAAAAAAAAAAAAAGCCAGCTTCGGTTAGTTCTGCAGAGAGCTGATAAGAGTGACTCTGATTTAAACTGACACTGTGGTACAAGCAGAACAACTCTCTGTGTGTTTTGTAAATGACAAGTTTGATGTGTTTATGGGCACAGAGTGGTTTTTATCTAATGTTTTGTTAGCCTGGCTGGAAAAGACTGACATTGTTACTCTGCTGTTTCACTAGAACAGATCTTTTTACCGATATGACAACCTTTTAACGTAATTATGATGTCATGTGATGCAGGTTTGAATCCACCGTCGACCTCCAGTATTTGTTTAGGTGAACGCCCCTGATCTGGTGTCATCATGGCCTCGGGGCAAGGAGACATCCCAGGTAATGCTATTGTTTGGATACATATGAAAAATACACGAGATTGTCAAAATACCTTGTAAAGCAAGTAATATATTGTCTTTTTATGCTACCATTTTCCAGCCCTTGAGTCTGGCCTGTCCTCAGGCCTTTGTGGTGCGATGTCTTCTCCTATTGGAATGACTCGACACAACATCAGCTACGATGAGCTCATAGATGCTCCCATGCATTCACCTCCTGCAGACGTGACTATGAACATCTTTTGGAAAGACCCCGTCATCCCCCAACACAAGTTTAGGAACACAGCCGAGGTGCTTCCTGTTTATTTAAACTTTCCGACGCATTTTGTTTCGAACTAAGCTAACTGACCTGTTCTTAGTAATAGTAACTTGGAAACTTTGGACTCGTTTTCTTGTCTGTTAGATTGTAATTTAATCCTAAAGCTATAAACTTGTGTGATTAGGCAAGTGAGAATGAGGGGAAGCTGCTGACACAAGAGGCCCAATTACAAGCCAAGTCTGTATCTGTTATAAAGTCCAAAGCCTCCACTTTTATGAGCACCCTTTTGACAAGTGAGTAAAAACTAAGATTTGGAGATCTGGACATTACCATTACCAACTAATTATTTACACTTGTGTCTGTTTTCCCAAATACACTCAGAGCAAACCCAAGAAAACCTTGAAAGGTTTGAGCACCAAGCAGGACTGACAGAAACTGTTTATTCACCCCACAAGGGCCTCTCGGCCGAGGAGACTCGCATTCACCGATTGGCTGATGGCAAACTGCCAGTAAGTACAAACAAGAGGTCTCTCATTCACAGGTCCATAACAGGTCTCTCTTGAAAATGACTCCTCATGACTCACTGGGACTACCCGTATAAATAAAGGTTAAATTAAAGAAAAAAAGAGGAGGAGGTGCCAGAAACTGGGGCACAATTTGTCCCTGAGCAATCTGTAATGAACAAAGATGGAAAAAAAAAAAAAAAAAGTTTGTATAAACAACATTCACACCTGAATGTATAACAAGTGACCTTCGTTGCAACCACATATATTTACTTGTGAAGTATCTCCAGTGACGCCTGGTCAGGATAAGATTCCAGACATTTTGGCGTGAGGCAGTTTGGGAGTTTAGTCATATCGTGGGAACGTTTTTAAGTTTAGTTCTCTTTTCAACAGACAGAAATTTAATTTGATAATGTCACATTGTCACAATTTTGTAACCTGGAATATCATTTTGCTAAAATTGTTGATAGCTTTTAACTTACTGCAAAAATTGGGTACTTTTATATATTTATATGAAGGGATAGATAAACAGATGTTTTTTGAGAGACAAAAGTGAATATTCACAAAGTGCCTGAGGGTATGGGACAAAAGTTAGAGTTTGATTTCCTATTTAAATTTGTGAATTTTTCATGATAATTTTTATACCCCATGCTCACATTCTACCATTTATAAAATTTGTTTACAATGTAAGACACAAAATACCTGCATAATTTCACTGTTCTGCTCAGTGACAGTTGCAGTGCCTCTTCAGGTAAGTATTATTTATTTAGATATTGCGTAATAATATCTATAAAGTATGTCCTATTACAATGATATCGGACAAAATTCCAAACATCTTGGTAAACAAATTACGTAACGAGGTTTCCGGGTGTTCAGTGCCGTTGCATAGCAACAGCCTTCCACGAACCGCGGCTCCTATCTGAGAAGGACCAATCAGCGAGCTCGTGACAAAAAAACAGACCTGCTTCGTTCGGTGAATACAGGCCGTGTCGGTTTTTCCTGAAAGAAAATTATCACTAAAACAATCAATTATGGACAAAATGAAGACGGCTATCGAATTGAGACGCCAACGAAAGCTTATCATAAAAAGGTATATGGAGATAATGTTTTGTTTTGATACTAGCGTATTTATTTTCTCCCCAAACCTAAAAGGCCGTTAGCATAGCATCCTACTACGGTAGCTACCTAGCAAAGCTAAATCGAGACGACAAACCGATCGTAACGTAGCTTGACGGTTGTTCGGCGGCTTTGTTAAAACTCACAACATAAAGATAAATAGAGATTTAAACTCATATTTAATAGCAATGTGTACCCGTTCGTTTATTGTTGGCATGACTGCTTAGCCGCGATCGGCGTAGTAATGGCTAACTGTTAGCAACCATTGGCCATCTTGCTTCGTCGAAACTATTGAAAACAATAACACTGGAGACTCCAAGGGTTTTTGCGCTATTTATAACGTGTTGTGTTGCCAAACTCATACTGCATGTGTGTCATTGACTAACATGTTTAAATTTATTATATAATATGAAATTTAACAACGTAGACGTGAGGTGCCCTTGAACTGTGGTAGTCTGTGCGTAATGTTTACAGTTCCCCTCTTTGTTGTTATTAAATGCCAGTAAACACTATCATCGTCTTTCTCACGATGATAATCGGAAATGTTTTGTTTTTGACACACAGGATGAATGTTATAGGTCAGTCATTTTTCCTCATGCTGTTTACGTTGCGGCTTGGGCAAAGATGTATGATTTTGATAATATACTTATATACTTAATAATTTATGTACTTTAGATTGGGGATATGCCTGCATTAGCTGGATTATGTAGTTTGGTATGCATCTTCATTAATCCTAAACCTAATTTTTGAAACAAGTGTGGTTTAATGTACAAGTGTCAGTATCTGAAAATTAATTATGTGCTTAAAAACAGTAAAGAACTCAATTTAACCCAGATGTTTTAGCTTTTTTCATGTTCAAGGCTAAACTTTTTTTCTCAATAGTTTTAGGTTTTTTTTTTATATATAATCAGTTTGATCTGGAATTGTAATGTAGGTCATAGATTTTTGTTTGTTTTATTTTTCCTCTCACTCATGACAGTAGCAGATGATCTGTGATACACTTACTGCTAGTTTTGATCTGCAAGGTCAGATACACACTTGACGTCTTGTATTGTGTACCAGATGTTTGCTCTTTAAAGAGGATCAGGGCTGCACCTCTTTCAACGTATTGACACTGCCGTGAAAAACTGTGCACATATTTGTTGCTTTCATATCTTCAGGCAGATTGCTGAACATTGAAAATATTATGTGTATATATATATTTTTTTTCTGTTTGAGCAGAAGTTGAGAATGCCAAGTGGGGACTTCAAGGAGGACAAGCTCACAACATCTGCACAATCTACCCCCTCTGTTACCCCCTCGGTTACCCCCAACGTAACTCCCCACTCATCACCAGCTGTTAATCGCAGGTGAGCACTCTGCCTTTAAAACATTCTCCTTCATAGTAATATTACATTGAAATGTAACTTATTACCAAACTGCATCCTTTCAAAAGTTACTACTGGATGCCTTTAGATTAATCTCGTTGTTTTTCTTGTCTTGCTCTTTGTTGATGGGAATACAGGAACTGGTTGCAGCTGAGTTCAGCACCACGTCTTGCAATTCCAGAGCTTGAAGGGAACCCAAACATAGACATGGGAGGAAATGAAGGAGGCGGAGGAGGTGTGGACAAGTGGAGCTTCTTTGGGACTCGGTCTGTGGTACACAAATCTCCCACAGATCCCGGCTCTGAAACAAGCGCAGGTGAAGGGTTTGAACTACAGTTCTTTATACTTTACAAAGTGGAAAGGAAGGAGTTTTATTGCAATATGTTGACTGTGGCAAGGAAGGGCAGTAAATCACTGTTTCCTAGCAAATGTTTTTTAAACTGGTCCTGCAACATTTTTCAGGAGGTATCAACATTCTCTAAAACATCTCTGTTCTGCAGGCTTTTCACTGCAGTCCTACTTTGGTCTGCAGAAGTCCTCCACCATGGATGGCACCAACACCAAGATCAACCTCAAGGTGGAGGACCCTGCCAAGTTCATGCCCCCCAAGATTGAAATCTCAGTCTCTGAACCCAAGCAGGTTTCTCAACGACCTCACAAACTCAAACCTCGGGACATGAATGTTTTAACACCTTCAGGCTTTTGATGTCAGAGCAGCTGTCAGCCTGCTTGGGTTCTCTGTGCCACATTTCCACACCTTCCCCCTGGTTGCTTGAGTTCTTCCCTGCGTTCTTCTGCTCCAGTTCAAATTCCCTGAGGCTGAGAGGAATGGGGACCACCTTCAAGGACATCATTCTCCCACCGGCAGAGGATTTAGATGGATTGCCATCTTCTAAATGGTTCTGCTTCCAGCTCAATGGTCCAAGTAAAAAAAGAAAAATAAACTTTGAACCCTGAAGATGTTTTTACATCACTTATTTGGTATATATGAATGCATTGTCTCATCCCTTTGTCTTCAGTGGTGTAATTTTGAAATATCTTGTCAGAGATTTGTAAAATGTAGTCGTTTTAGCATTGCCTTTCATGCTAACACTGACAACCTATTTCATTTTCCCCTGAATCATTCTTTTAAATTATTATAATTTTAAATAAGCTCAAATTTATTGTGCAGTGTTATTTTTTTTGTCAGCATGCTGAGTGTTTTATGGTGTGACTGATATTGTGCCTAAACTTGCAGCGTGCTTGATTTTGGAATTAAAGGTTTTTTTTGTTTTTTTTTGGGTGGGGGGGTGGGGGGGGCTTTTTATTACATAAGAGTATCTCATTTTTAAATACAACCTTTAACCTGAAGTCATTTTGTTTAAGTATTTCATTTCAGGTTTTTTATATTGCCCTGCTTTATGTCTGTTATGTTTATTTGAAATAGTGGGTAGTATATTTTGTAAAGTTTATTGTCTCATATGTGACTGCAATACAACCACACAAGCTAAAGACATCGGCATGTAAACAGTCGGTTTTGCGTTTTGTTGTGTCTAAGAACTCTGCTGGTTAAAAAAAAAAAAAGAAAAGTTTTATTCTGCCAAGTAATAATTGCACAAGGGAGTAAATCTCCCACTAAGATATGTAAATAAATTTAATCTTAAGCACATCTGGACTTATTAGTTTTTACAGACGTGTCTAAGTTAAAACCTTCAGAAAGATGAAAGTTGTGTAAAAGTAATGTTTAGCATCTGTAATGCAGTTTAATCTTTTTTTTTTTCCGGGGTATATACTGGTAGTGCAGTTTTGAGTAACAACTTTTAAGTCTTGAAATTAAAACTGTATTTCAAAGGTGCTAAAGATCAAGTCTGTCAATTAGAATGGAAAGATTATACTCTTAATAAAATGGGTAATTATATGAGATATCTATTATGTAAAGTTTTATCATAATAGAACAATCATTCTATTGTAATGCAATAAAAACATACTTTATTGAATCCATGAGGTTTTGTCTCAATCGCAGGACTTCAGATTTCAGGTCAGATTAGGATTCAAAACCAGGTAAACATTGTAATGCAGCAAAATTACTACTTACATTTGAGGTAATTTAAGTACTAATGAAATGCTGGGGACATTAGGAAACATATATATATATATTATTTCGTATTTATTTTTGTGAACTCTGCAGTTTATTGAGGTTGACTTTTCTCCATTTTACTCAAATCCTGAGATCATAAAAGTGGACATTAGGAGAAGGATTTTGACCAATTAAAAAAAAAAAAGACCAAACTTTACTTGCAGGCTTTGGCCAGAAGATGGTGCAATAAGATTAATGTGCAACAGCAGTTCTGCAGATATAATGGGAATTTATTTTGTTGTTTTGTCTTTGTTTCAAGGGAACTAAGTGAAAATACAGACTAACAGGTATTTTCTTAAAACAGTTCTAAAAACAAAGTAGTGTGGGACAAAAGAACCCATGATTTGTATCAACTGTTTTCAGTTTCTTTGTTTCTGTTTCCTCTGACATCTGTGAGCAAACATTCAGACAGGTGCTGGGAAGAGACGCTGACATTTTAAAGACAGTCACTTAAAAAATGAAAGAAAAATAAATACTTAATGACAAAGTAACTAAACCAGGATCAAATACCCTTTGTATCCTTCTATCAAAGGTGAACATATTATGGTATAGCCTCTTTATAATATACGTCTGTAAACTTTAATTTGTCCCGACCAACTTCTGCTCAGCATAATTTGACAGGTGTATAAAGTACCAAATGCAGTAATCTTGTTTAAATGTTAGTTTTACATCTTTCTAACATTTGACTGTGAAATGGCTAACAGATCTGATTCAAATTTTACAAATGGTAAATGGACTGTGTACTTATATAGCACCTTTCTATCTACCTTGGTCAAGATACTCAAAGTACTTTACACTACAATCTGTGTCCTCATTTACCCGTTCATACAGCACTCTATTATATTTCTACAAAGCTAATCTGAATCTGTAGAGACCAATCAGAGATTTATCACATTCATTCACCGATGGGACACACATCGGAGGCAATCAGGGGTTCAGTGTCTTGCCCAGGGACACTTCGGCATGTGATTGCTGGTGGAATCAAACCCACAACTCTCCCATTGGAGGACGGCTGCTCTAACCACTCAGCCACAGCCGCCTGTTTGTGCTCAGTTAAGAGAAGCTGTGCATCAAGTACCCTATTTCTTAGAACTTATCGGTAACTGTTTGTCATATTGCTTGTAATTGTGTTGAATAGTATTTAAAAGATTTGATCAATAAAGCTAAAAGTCTCATTTATAACAGAGGATGCTCTTGGTCTGCAACTCTGTCATTAAGGTGACGTGAACTATGCATTTTATCAAGGTCAGCTAGTCCTTTATTTACCCATTAGTTACCCCATTTGTGTGCCTTTCATTCTTATTGTGCACGTTTAGGCATGCGAACAAAAATTAAAAGGTATTGTGCATTAGACCCTACATATTTGAGGTGTTACAGCATGATGACTTCATTTCTTTTTTCAACTGCTATTCCCTCTACTGAGGTCTCCACATCTAGTCACCCTCCCCATCTGACTCGGTCCTCACTCCAACTACTTCCATAACTGTATCCATATATCTCATCCTTCTACCAGTATACCCACTGTCCCTCCTCTGGACATGTCCAAACCATCTCAGTCTGGTTTCTCTAACTTTATCTCCCAGTTGTTCAACCTGTGCTGTACCTCTGATGATCTCATTCCTAATCTTATCCAGCCTTGTCACTCCTAAGAAGAACCTCATCATCTTCATTTCTGCCACTTCCAGTCATTTCTCCTGTCTTTTTGTCCATGTCTCTGTCTCCAGACCATACAACATGGCTGGTCTCACCACTGTCTTGTAAATGTTGACCTTTGCTGACACACTTTTGTCACAAATCACTCCTGAAACTTTTCTCCATCCTCTCCATCCTGACTGGACTCTCTTCTTCACCTCTTTACCACTTTCCCCATTTTCCTGGAAAGTTCACCCAAGTACTTGAAGTCCCGCACCTTTGTGACCTCTGCTCCTTGTAGCCTCACTGTTCCACCGGCCTCCCTCTCATTCACACACATGCACTCTGTCTTACTACAGCTGACTTTCATTCCTCTTCTTTCAAGTGCATACCTCCACCTCTCCAAGTTCTCTTCCACTTGTTCTCTGTTCTCACCACAGATCACAATGTCATCTGCAAACATCATCGTCCACGGGGATTCCTGTTTGACCTCATCTGTTAGTCGGTCCATCACCAGATCAAACGAGAAGGGGCTCGGAGCCGATCCTTGATGCACTCCCACCTCCACCTTGAAGCTATCTATCACTCCTACAGCACATCTCACCACTGTCCTGCTGTCCTCATACATGACCTGTACCAGTCTAACATACTTCTCTGCCACTACAGATTTCCTCATGCAACAACATCACAGCTCCTCCTTTAGTATTAGGTTTTATATCACTACCTGTATTTACTTTTTATTTTATGTATATGCATTTTATGGCTGTTTATTGTTGCGTGCACCTCATCTGTGGTTTGTCTAAAACAGGTATCTCTTGTAAACGAGTCCTCGTGTCTCATCGAGCCTAACCTTATAAATAAAGTTTGAATGAACAATTTGTTGACAGCAGTTTTGATTACTAAAGTAACGTAAATGGTTTTTTTTTTTTCCCCTTTTCTCCAAAATAAAAAGTGTGACAGTGGTTAAAATGTAATATTTTGCTGACTAGGTTTTAAACAATTTGAACCATGTTCATGAACGCCCATACTGGTCTTACAGGTTTAATAAGCTTTGTCTTGTCGTCAGAGAGAATGATTTATTACAGCAGTTGGTGGATGGGTTGAATGCAGAGAGCCATTTTATGGGAGCATACAATGATGACAATACATGCACATTATTATTATTATTATCAACCGTTCCTAAATATCACACAGTAACCAGCCTCATTCCTCCCGATCAAAGCAAACACATACAGCAGACAATGAGCGAGTAAGCAATGACAACAGAAAATACTTTTTCCATGTGTGAGCTCATGGTTTAAAGCTCACCAACTTGTATGTCGTGTGTAAAAGTCAACAACTTGTCTTTTTGCGAATTCAAAGAAGACGTAAAAAAAGACAAATAAGAGGAAATCAAAGGTCAAAAGCGATTACAGAAAATTAACAGTCACAAAATAAAAAGCAAAATATATTGGTATAAATAATAAATTATAGAAACTATATTTTCTGTAAAAGTGCAGAGTGAATATTCAGGCTGCTGTTTAACATAACGTATTTTACATTATTAGTGTTTAGCATATATCTTAGATCCTTGTATACTGTTTCTTTTTGTACTTGATATTTTGCTAAATGTAACCCTGTGTACACAATTTCATTCCACCTCATGTACCACATGTGATGTGAATGACAATAAAGAAGCATGAACTTGATCCTTGAATGCTGAAATTTGTTAAAGAACCAGAAGTTGTTTCAGCTAAATGGAACAAAGCACTAGCTTAAGGTAGCAAAATGCTACCTTTAGCAGTAAAATGCTAGCAAAAAGTACCAAAACACTAGCTAAAACCCAAAAGTAGCACAAGGCTAGTTAAAAAGTAGTGAAGGATTTAAGTAGGAAAACAGTAGCAAGAAGCTAAAAGTAAGTAAATAGCTACCTAAAAGAAGCAAAGCAAGGAGCTCTTAAGGCGTCCAGTGAAGTGTAGACCTGGTGGGTCTGTTTGAGGACACCAACCTGTGCACCATCATGCCCAAGGACATCCAGCTGGCTCACAGGAGAAGGGGAGAGAGGGCCTAAAGAAGCCCAGACTCCTCGTCATGACAAATGATCCTATTTGTCTTAACTGTTTTCTGGACTTTTTTTTAATTTCTTGGGTTATTTTTAAGTTTTGAATTAAAATCAACCATTCCACAAACCCAACTAAGGGGAAGTACTTGTCACGTTGTAGCTTGTCATAAATGCAGCTTGTCAAACTCTTGCATTGGAGGACGACTGCTCTAACCACTCAGCCACAGCCGGTTGAATGAAAAATTAAAAAAAAAAAAACACTAGCTAAAAACGTCAAAAAGCTAGCTAAAACATAAAAGTTCAATTCAGTTCATAAACGTAGCTAAAGAAGACAAAAATAAAGTTTAGGGAAGCAGTTTTTCAAGAGGAGGCTGAAGAGAAGTTAATGTTTTTCCACTGAGAAAATATTTCTAAATAAGGTTTAATATGTTGAAAATATCTCGTTTGCAAAACATAAATAAATACATAACTAATCATGACGATCTGAATGAA